AAGAGGGCTCCAGGCCCACAGTCCAGTGCAGGGATGGGATGTGATGGTGAAGATTCAGCAGCCTCAAGAGGCTGAGCCTGGCGAGCCCCCAGGGAATGACAGGTGCATTGGGGGAACTGGGCCGGACGAGTTCCAGAGGCCATGTGCATGGCATCTGGAGTCAGAGGGAGCTGGCTGTGGATTCCTGCTCTTCTGCATATGCACTGTATGATCCTAGACGGGCTCTTTTAGCTTCAGAGAGCGTCCATGGGGCCCGCCTCGTGGGAGGACCGTGGGTATTAGCTATAATGTTTGTAAGCACTCAGAAAAGCTGGCTAGCTATTATCATTTTTATCCTATGCCATGTGTAGAGATAAACATGGTCCAAATAGAGCAGGAATCGCAAAGGGAGTTTTTGGCCTAGCAGGATTTTCTAAAGAAAATCTTGTGTGTATGTATGTATTTGCGTGTGTGTGTGTGTGTGTGTGTGTGTGTATTTATATGTAGGCTTCCCTAGTGGCTCAGTGGTAAAGAAGCTGCCTGCTAATGCAGGAGATGGAGACACAGGAGACGTGGGTTCCATCCCTGGTTCGAGAAGATCCTCTGGAGGAAGAAATGGCAACCCATTCCAGTATTCTTGCCTGGGAAATCCCATGGACAGAAGAGCCTGGCGAGCTACAGTCCATGGGATTGTGGAGTCCATGCGGTCGCAAAGAGTGAGACATGACTTAGCAACTAAACGAAAACAACTTGGTGTATATACATACATACATATATAGACAAAATAAATACATATATTTTGTGTATATGTGTATGTAAGTGTGTCTGTGTAGAGAGAACAATAGTATGGGGGAAATATTACATGGCAAAAATCAAGAAGGTAAGGAATTCCCTGGTGGTCCAGTGGTTAAGGCTCTGTCCTTCCACTGCAAGGGAGTATGGGTTCAATCCCTGGTCTGGGAACTAAGATTCCACATGCTGCACAACAAAGTCAAAATTTAACAAAGGTTTACAAAAATCAAGAAGGTGAAAAGACTGGAAGAAAAGTCTCCTGCGTGTGCTTCCTCACTGCCTCTCTGGAGAACATCTGGCTAACCACATGCTGTCTTTCTCGGTTCCCCATTAGGTTCAATAAGGATAATAGTACCCCCCTTGTCTATTGTGCAGATAAATTTTTGTGAAGGGTGAACACCATAAGTTAAAGTGCTCTAAAAACAAAGTGCTCTACCAATATTAATACAAGGGAATGTGATGTGTTTGCATCTAAATAAAGCTCTGGAAACAAATTCCCCCGCAAGGTGAGGAGCAAAGGAATGCTGCACTTTGGTTTCTGTTCCTCTCTCTCCGCTCTCAGTAGCCCATCATTCCGACCCGCTCTGCCTTCGCTCCTGCTGGAGACCTCACGGTTGTATGGGTGTCTCAGCAGTGTGACTACACAAGCCACAAGCTTTGGTGGAAATTAGAAGACAACACACATTGGAAAAGCATCTTGAGAACCTGTTTTAAACATGGGGCTTCCCGGATAGCCCAGAGGGTAAGGAATCCACCTGCAATGCAGGAGATCTGAGTCTGATCCCTGGGTGGGGAATATCCCCTGGAGAAGGGAATGGCAACCCACTCCAGTACTCTTGCCTGGAGAATCCCATGGGCAGAGGGGATGGTGGGCTTATAGTCCATGGGGTCACAGAGTCAGACACGACTGAACAGCAACAACAGAGACACAAATGTAATGATCATTTGTGGGGGGGAAATGGAACGGCAATTTGATTCATGTTTCCCCTGGAAGTTACAGGGCCAACAGGCACTCTGGCCTTGAACTCAACTCACAGGAAAGTAGCCGTTGAGAGTGGGATGAGACAGTTGAATGAAGTCTGTACACAGAGGATCCTGCAAAGTTAAAGAATCTCACTGAACAAAGGAAAAGGTGGCGGGTTCAGATGGTATGGCGTGGGAACAGCAAGAGAAGAGCAAGAAACATCTTCCCCGTAAACAATGCAAGCTTTCCACGTCTTGGCTGTTAATTACACGAAGAGACCAAGAGGCTTGTAAGCCCATCTGCTGCCTGGGGAGGATTCCATACGGCTGAAATCTGATTCTAGATCTTGGAGGGTGGGTTAAGTAGCTGCAGCCAGGCAGGAACGCGGGGAACAAGACAATAGGAAGGTGCATTTGTATCGTTAGTAGCCATTTGCAGGGCACTTATTGCATACATTACCCCGAATCATCCTTATACCCGTGTGAAGCAGGTATCAGGTTCTTATTTTTCAAATGAAGAAACTGAAACTTGGGGAGGTTGAGTAATTCGTGCAAACTCACACAATTCATAAACAACTGCCCCACCCCCACCCCCTTAAGGTTTTCTGACCGCAAATTCTTTGCTTCTTTCAAGTTTGGAGAAAATCTCATGTTATAAAACTTATTGGATTTATTGGAGGGGGGGTGGAATCAAGCCCTCATAGCTTCCTGGGAGAGAGGGATATTGGGCTTCCTATTGCACCGCCAGTCAGCTTTATTGTCTACAAATGTGAGAAACCTCTGACAATGTTTTAAAATGGGAATGCTCATGATCTAAGAAGATTGCAACACAAATTACAAAGACACATAGAATTAGCTGGGGCTTCCCTGGTGGCTCAGCGGTAAAGAATCCCCCTGCAACGCAGGAGATGCAGGTTCGATCTCTGGGTCAGGAAGAGCCCCTTGGAGAAGAAACTGGCAACCCTCTCCAGTGTTCTTGCCTGGGAAATCCCATGGACAGAGGAGCCTGGTGGGCTACAGTCCATGGGGTTGCAAAAGAGTCGGACACGGCTTAGTGATTAAACAATAAACAAACTGCAATAGAATTAGCCCATGAATTTAAAGTGGCAGGGGCATTCTTGCCTCTGATTCTCAGGGTGTACCACCAGGGCCATCCAGACAAGGAGTATGCACATAGTTTGACCAGAATCTTGGAGTTTTAGAGGAAACCTAGAGCCTGTGTGCAAATACAGTGTCTGTTTCAGGGTAGGGACACTGGCCCGGAGCAGGTCCTCAATCACTGTCCAAGATGTCTAAACAGGATACTGTCTGTGGACATGACATCACAGCTCCTTATCACTGTTGTGTGTCTGAAGGAAGGCAGGCACGGCCTCTGCTGGAGGGACACCTTCTGTGTCCTGGGAAATATGAAGGAGGAGAGCTTTGGCTGAATGTCAAGTGCAAGTCGGGAGGACAAGGCCACCCTTAGCCTTCTCTCCTGTGCCTCCTCTGTACAGCCTCGTGGACCAATTTTGGGAAGAGTTGATTATGGTTTGTCTCTTTAAGCAAGAGGAATGGCCTAAAATACTCCAGTGTTATGGGATTTTCTTATACCTGTTTCTCCCTAGACACAGGGGACACTGTTGGAATCAGGATGAATTCAAGCAGTGAGGATGTTCCCTTCTAGAAGCCTCTAGCATATTGACTGTATTCAGTGAACTTATTCTGGTCCTGTGACTCTTTTCTTCCCTAACTAAGGGGTTTTATCCTTGACTTCTTGGGAGACACCTGAAAAATCCCTCAAACCCTCTGGTCTTGATTCCAAAAGGTCTAGTGAATGACAGGGGTTTCCCAGGGGGCGTTAGTGATAAGAATCAGCCTGCTAATGCAGGAGACGCAACAGACACGGTTTCGATCCCTGGGTCAGGAAGATTCCCTGGAGAAGGGAAAGGCAACCCACTCCAGTATTCTTGCCTGGGAAATTCCATGGACAGAGGAGCCTGGCAGGCCACAGTCCATAGCGTTGCAAAACCGTCAGACATGACTGAGTGAGTACTGAGAGAATGACAGTCATCGCTACTTCTTCACTGAGCTTCCGTGAGGACTAACAAAACATCAAGCAACTGTTTAAAATTGGCTCTTCTAATTAATGGAAAAGATCAGTGAGGTGTATCATCCCAAAAATGTCTCCTCTAGGAGCATTTAAAGAGACAGCAAGTCAACATGGCACGTGCCCTTCTCTTTTCAGTTTGGAGCTGGACATAGTATGGGACCCAAAAGATATAGAAGACATAGTTTTTGTCCCCAAAATTTACAATCAAGCTGTGAAGATAATTACTCAAGTGCCAGCTACAAAGAACAGAACTCATTGTATTCCANGTGCCCTTCTCTTTTCAGTTTGGAGCTGGACATAGTATGGGACCCAAAAGATATAGAAGACATAGTTTTTGTCCCCAAAATTTACAATCAAGCTGTGAAGATAATTACTCAAGTGCCAGCTACAAAGAACAGAACTCATTGTATTCCATGTTTTTTGTTTTTTTTTTTGGCTTAAACAACAGAAATTTATTTTCTCATGGTGTGGAAAACAGGAGGGTTGATTTCTATTGAGGTCTCTCTTCTTAGAGGTGGCAGTCATCTCCTTGTGTCTTCACATGGTCTTTCTTCTATGCATGTGTGTCTTATTCTTTTTCAAAAAAGTTTAAATTTCTTTGCTCTTAATTGGAAGACAATTGCTTTCTAATATTGTTAGTTTCTGCCATACATCAACATGAGTCAGTCATAGGTGTACATATGTCCCCTCCCTCTTGAAGCTCCCTCCTGCCTCCCACCCCATCCTAATCCTCTCTATTGTCACAGGGCACCTAATTTGAGCTCCCTGCATCATACAGCAAATTCCCACTAGCTATCAGTTTAACATATGGTAATGTATATGTTTCTATGCTACTATCTCAATTCATCCCAACCTCTCTGTCCCCGCACTGTGTCCACAAGGCTGTTCTCTATGTCGGCGTGTCCATTGCTACCCTGCATATAGGTTCATGAGTCTGAGCAAGCTCCCACAGTTGGTGATGGACAGGGAAGCCTGGTGTGCTGCAGTCCATGGGGTCACAAAGAGTTGGACACGACTGAGCAACTGAACTGAACTAAGTTCATCAGTACCATCTTTCCAGGTTCCTTATATATGTGTTAATGTACGATATTTGCTTTTCTCTGACTTACTTCATTCTGTTTTCTTTTTAAGCAAACATTTACACATCTAGTAAGATGCTATCTTGAAATAAATGTATCGTACAGTTATTTACTCAAACCAATGGTGCTTCCGTGGCTCTAAACATTTCTGGTGTTCTCTTTAGTTCGCCCATGAATGAGTTTGAAAGGGAGAGTGGACATCCACCTCTCTGTGAAAAGAATCTTTGCCCCAAGTCTCCCACTGCACAGAACATGGGCTGCGGGTGGGGGTGAGATCCTTGAGCCCAGGTTATCAGCTTCTGGCTTCTGAAAGAAACACCTGGTTGCTTGGAGGTATCAGGTGATCTGGGGAGAGGAAATACAAAATGGGAAGGATTGGTTACAGGAGACAATGTGAGCAGAGGATCAAAGGGTCTGGGAGGCACCAGCAAGCCTGGGAGCAGGTGACACTCAGTGACACACACCGGGTGTCGCTTTCTAGCGCAGATTCCCAATTAGCGGAAGGAGGCAGAAAACATTTGGTAAAAGGTGAGGCTCGCTTTCTGTGAGACCTCTGAACCCATCAGCTCTGCGATTTGTGCTTCCAAAAGGTGTGGTGCCAGAGTTTTGTACAGATGGACAAATCCCCAGCTAAGATCTAAAAAACAAGGTGGCCACTGTTTATTTTTCTGATGATTTTCAATCCCTTCCCCTTTATATTTCCAAGAAAGGCTGATCTTGAAAATTTTATCTGGTCACATTTCAAGAAAGTCCAGGCAACTCTTAATCCTCACTTTGGATAAAAGCCTGGTTGAATATTAAGGCCAGGCTGATTCACTTGCCTTTTATTCCATTCAATGCTATGTATATTTATTGAACAACCACCCTGCCAAGGGGCAGACATGCACCACATAGGAAGCCATCAGGAATCATTCGAGAACCCCTCCTCTCAAAGATCTCACCTTCTAACTGTGGAGACAAAACAACAGCCCTGCGATAACCATTGTACAAGGTAGAAAGGGTGAAATGTAGGTGGGAGGTTCACAGAGCCGTGGTGTTTGAGACTGGGAAGGACCATATATGCATGGGGGGCCACCAGGAGCATCGAGGGTACCAAGTGGGGGGAGTCTGAAAGGTGAGCAGAATTCTCCTGGTCACAGAGGGCCATGGTGGCATCTCAGGAGGTGGGGGGTAGGCTTGGGGTGAAGCTGACATAGGCAGTCTATAAGTCTGGGAAGAAGAGTAGGAAAGAATGGGCTTGGAAGGGTAGATTGGATATGGATTTTGGAGCCTTTAAATGCCAGCTTCCAGTCTTGTTAACAGGCAATGAGGAATCATGGGATGCTCCTGAGCAGAAGAGTGATATGACCACTGATAGGTTTGGGGAGGGTGTTCTGTGAGCAGCAAATAGGATGGGCTGGGGGATAAGAAGAAGAAAATAAAGAAGGTCATTGCCACACCCTGGAGAGGGGAGGGGTGACTGAGATGGCTGCATGCTTAGAGGGGAGGTGATGTGATGAGGGGGCAGAGAAGTGATGCCCCCTCTGTGCATCACCTTCAGTGGAATCCCTGGGCTTCAGTAGCTCCTGATGCGACGCTCTGCAGAGCCACTTACAGTAGTAGCCCCTGATGCGACGCTCTGCAGAGCCACTTACAGTAGCCCCTGATGCGATGCTTTCAAGAGCCATGTAAAATGGACTCTGCAGCTGCCTTCTGTCTCTGACTCTCTGCTTCAGTGACTGAGCCGGTAAAAACCACGCAATGCCTGAATCTAGGAGACCCTTAAGCTTCCTCAACTGGGATCCTCTCAGATCAGACCTGTCTGGTTACTTAAAGTGGGTGTCATGCCAGTCTGAAAGCCGGGAGTCCTGTTTTCTAGAATATTGAAGGTGCCCTTTCCTTGAGAGCACAGGACTATATGCCAGGAAAGATGTCAGAGATCTGAGCTCAGAGACTAGAGCCAGGGGGTGAGATGGAAGGGAAGGGGAGGTAAGGAAAAATAGAAGAAGAATTTCTAGAAGAAACACCTGTCATGGCTTAAAGAGATGGTCGGGTCCTTCAAGAACTAGGTCCCGGACCACTGAGAAGTATGGAAACAATCTAGAACCCATGGCAACTGAGATCACTGCACATGCCAATCAATTTCCTCTGTCAGATACCTCCCCAGCGAGGGACACACATGGTGAGACTATTCCACATGGGAAATGGTGTGTGTATGTGTGTGTGTCTGTGCTTTTAATTGTCTCTCCAGAGTGCACGGGCTCAATAATTTCAGGGCATGGGCTTAGTTGCCCCATAGCATGAGAAATCTTAGCTCCCCAACTAGGGATCAGCTCAGCATCCCCTGCATTGGCAAGCAGATTCTTAATCACTGGACCACCAGGGAAGTCCTGAATGTGCCATGACTAAGATCCGATGCAGCCAAATAAATAAAATAGAATAAATCGTCTCCCCAGTTTGTTGTGACTTCATTCCCCAATCCTGATTACACAGGGTCAAGGAAGCCTGTTGGAGTCTGTCCCAGGAAAGGCTCCTTCCAGCTATTCCTGGGAGAGTAAAACTGCTGCAGCTTCAAGTCGGTGACACAGGGTCTGCACATCTCCAGGGACTTATTCACTATATCTGGGGCTCCCCTAGTGTCTTAGAAGAGTATGCCCCCAGGTTTGATCCCTGGGTCAGGAAGATCCCCTGGAGAAAGGAATGGCTATCCACTCCAGTGTTCTTTTTTGGAGAATCCCATGGTCAGAGGAGCCTGGTGGGCTACAGTCCATGGGGTCGTAAAAAGTCAGCAACTAACACTTTTCTCCTCCAACTCGCAGATCAAGGGTTCTTCTAAAGCGTGAATCATATGATCACGGAAAAGATAGATTTATTTAATGCACTGGATTTTTTTTTTCTTTGTGAGAAATGAACATCTCTGTGCCTAATGCCTGGGCTTTAAGAGTTTAGAAAAAATGGTGCTAACTGCTACATCAGCCAAGCCTGTCATCTGAGGCTTATCACTCTTAAGAACATTTATTTCTCACTTATGTCACAGTCTGATAACTGGTGGGTCAAGAGGCTTCTCCATCTTGTAGCTACTCCATCTGGTACGTGTGACATCTAAAGCACACACACACACACACACACACACACACACACAAAAGAAAGCAAAGCAAAAAAAAATGATATCTTCTATGGAAGTGGGAGCGAGAGGATTTGCAGGACGTTTCTAAGGGTCAGTCTCAAGTGGCTTGTATCACTGCCCACATTTCATCAGCCAGAAGCCAGTTGTCCGAGGCATCAACCCAACACCAGGGAGCCTGGGAGATGTGGAGGAATACATCTTTTGTTGCTACAGAGCTTTTGTTCAAAGGCTTCTTGGTGGGGAGATGATACCCAGATGAGGAAAAGCTCATATTCTCATCGAACTGAGTTAAGAGAATGAATGTGAATGGCTTATTCACTGAATGGAGCGACTTCCCTGGTGGTCCAGTGGTTAGGACTCCATGCTTTCACTGCCAAGGGCAAGAGAAAAAAAACCTGAATGGGACTTATCCGGTGGTCCAGTGGTTAAGGATCCACCTGTCAATGCAGGTCTAGGAAGATTCCACATGCCTCAGGGCAACTAAGTCAGCGAGCTACAATGTCTGAGCCAGCAGCACCACAGAGCCCACGCTCTGCAACAAGAGAAGCCATTGCAATGAAAAGCCCTCATTCCCCAAAACTAGAAAAAAGTCCGTGCTAACAACTAAGACCCAGTGCAGCCAAAAATTAATTAATTAATTTAAAAAAGACTGAATGGAAGAAATATATTTGCTAGCCCTGGATGTGGAATGAAGCTTAGAATTCTCACCAGGGATCTGTGCTCTTGACTTTGGCCAGGGGGGCGGGGAAGCCGAGAGAGAGCCTGGAACAATGGGAGATGAGGAATGTTGGGGCAGCTGAAACATTGCCTCATGGGCTCCCCAGATGCCAGGGCTACATCACTGGCTTCCAGAACACCCTGTGACCTCACTGGATTCCAGGCTCTATATTTGGTCACCACCAGTGCCTATGACTGTAAATAATTGAAAGGAATATAATAGGGTGAGAATTAGTGTTGCCTCCCTTTTCGCCTTTCATAAAATCTTTTTATATCGGAGGGGTCTGGCCCCAGCCACTCCTTGCTCTATAATTAGTCCTGGGAGTTGTGAGGGCTGTGATTCCGTTAATGACATTTCATGCTTCAGTCTTGGGGTCCCTCAGGCATTTTCATCTTTGCTGGAGCAGGTGAACCAGAGTAATGTGCATTAATGACATGTAGGTGTCTCAGGGGGTCCCTAAATGTTACAGATGAGCAAGAGAGAACCCCCCAAGCCTGGTGTGCCAATTAGAGGGTCCCACCTAGCCTCCCAGCTTCCCAAACAGCTGAGAATGGTCTGGGTATCATCGGTCACGACTGGGAGGTTTCCAGTGCCCTGTCATTTCACCCTTCCATCCCTACAGACTTGGCCAGCATTCTGTACCAGGTCTCTGGACACAAAGTATTCTCTGCTTGAGAATCCACCACAATTCCTCTTATTTATTCATTTATTTATTTATCCCAGGCAGCATGTGGGATCTTAGTTCTCTGACCAAGAGTTGAACCCAAACCCCCTGCATTGGAAGCACAGAGTCTTAACCACTGCACCACCAGGGATAAGCAGCATAGGGTGCGGGAAATCTTCAGAGGCACTTATGAAGACTTTGAAGCCCAGTGGCATGAACCCTGGGTACACAGTTAGATGTGCAGTAGGCAATATCACTAGTGAAAATGAGTTGCAGTGGCTTTCCAGAACACCTTTGAAAACTAAGGTCCAAAGACATTTTGTTTCTGCTGTTGCTGTTTGGTGGCCAAGCTGTGTCTGACTCTTCGGCAGTCCCATGGACTATAGCCCACCAGACTCCTCTGTCCTTGGGATTTCCCAGGCAAGAATACTGGAGTGGGTTGCCATTTCCTACTCTGGGGGATCTTCCCAATACAGAGATCTAACCTGTGTCTCCTGCCTTGGTGAATGGCAGAATTCTTTACTGCTAAGCCACCCAGGAAGTACATTAAGTGGTTTGCAAAATTGCTCTTTCTTGTCCATCTTCATACCCAACCACCCTTGCCCCGCCCTCCCTGGGATTTAGATCCTTTATCTTGGGTGCCACACTGGTGCGTAGCTCCCTGGCTTTTCGCCTTCTTTTCCCTTTGATGGAACACCCTTCCCAGGCTTGTCCTACAGAACGTCTACTCACCCCTAAGGCCCTGTGCAACTATTTCTCTTCTTCGAAGTCTCCTTGACCACTGTCTCTTCTATTCTGAGTCAACTGCCGCTTCCTTTTGCTATTATTGCTTCTTCTGCTTAGCCTTGCTACAGCAACCATTACCGCAAGATCTAACAATGATTAAACTCTCTTTCTCCCCCAAGCCACGAGCTTGAGTGAATGAAAGCTGCCTTCCTCATCTCTGTATCAGCAGAGCAGAGATGCTTTAGGCTCATGGTAAAGACTTGACACATGTTTTCTGAGTGAATAAATGCATTAAAAATGTTTATCCTTTCCCTAGGCACAAAGATAACTATAAGACTGAGAAAGCCAACAAATGCAGAATGCCTGGGATGCTTTAAAATCCCACAGGGGCACTAATCAAATAGTATTTTGAGACTTCAAGCCTCCATTTGTCTTGATCTCCCAGGAAAGATGATGAGGACAGGCAATTGCAGTTCTGTGCAAGGCCTTCTCTGTTGTCTTCTGCTGTCTGCCCTGGATCAGAAGATGGGGCAAGAGTCGTATTGCCAGGGTATTAGCAGGGCTGCTGTAAAGTAATACCATCTCCACGGCCGAGAAGTCCTGTGGCCAGAGTGAGCCACACTCCACCTCGTCATTCAGCTATTGTGCTTGGATATTAATAGCCCTGGGCAGTGTAGTCTGCGTGGGCAAGTGCTGCTTTTTCTGAGCTGTGTAAGCCCCCATCTCCCAGAGACAAAGTGCTCCACAAATAACCACAGCATGTTCTGAATTCCTCTGGGCAGGGAGCCCCCCGGAGATCACTACACAGGGCAAGAGGAGTTGGGCTCATGGCAGAGCCCCCAACCCCAATAGCTCCTGGCAGCCCAGAACCCAGGGTTGGGGGTTGGAGTAGAAAGAACCTGGGTAGGCAGAGAAGGTCAGCACTCCTGGATTTAAGTTCTGGTTCTCAAGGGAATCAGCTGGAAGACCTTCAACAAATTGCTGAGATTTCGTGCAGTTCAGTTTCTTCATCTGTACTACAGTTCTGCCTGTTTCATGACATCATGATGAACACATGGAGGGAAAGTACATGGGGTCGCAAGAAGTCAGACACGACTTGGCAACTAATCAGCAACAACAGTTTTGACTAAACGGATCACTCATGCTCGCCGTTACCCTCTCTATGCCTAATGGGCCAGCTGACACTTGTCCTACTTTGCGGGTGTGCGACCTTGGGCAAGAGGCTTCATCTCCGAGTGCCTCGGTTTCCTCATCTGTGAAAGAAGTGAAAGTGTTAGTTGTTCAGTCATGTCTGACTCTTTGTGACCCCATGGACTGTAGCCCACCAGGTTCCTCTGTTCACGGGATTCTATGCAGGGCAAATAGCAGGACATTCCCTCTGCTGATAGAATCAGGTGGACTCTACTGATGTATTCAGAACTTCCTTTTCAAAAGTTGCTTCTTGATGTGGGTAATTTGAGACAAAGGATAAACCAAAGACAAATTGTATCAGCTTTGGGAAGCTGTATTATTCTTGCCTTTTTTGTGTATCTGCTTGCTCCTTTTACTTTGGGAGGAGTGATTGAAATTTTTTTTTTCTTGTGTGTTGATCTGTGGTTTTTCAATGCAGAATTAAGAGCAGGTAACACAGGTGGGGCTCAAATCCTCTTTGGAGGAGCGACAGTTGGGTTACCTGTGCGTGAGTGGTGGGGGGAGCTGACAGCCTCTGTGCCAGGCTGGGTTGCGGTGGGTACAGAGCAATGCCTGCATCTCTACAGGAATGGCTTCCCCATATCATCTCTGGATTCAACTGTTTGATGGGACCAGACCCTAGCCATAATTTTCGTGGTTAAAGGAACAGAGGGTGACATGATAATAACCACGGCTGCATGGGTTCATTTTTGTTTACATTGAAAGCAGCCATTCATGTTCCGACACCCAGAATCATAAGTGATTTTTTGACAAATACCAGAAAAAATCCCAGAATGATCTCTGATTTTTGTACGCAGAGCAGTGTTCTCAAAGACACACCATTAATTTACCATACAGTTTCCACCTTAACAAAACAAAAGCAAAGGACATAATTAGTATTATCTCTATTTTGAAGGCAGGCAAATCAAAGTCCCTAAGAAACAGAAATAGAACTGTATTCTCTACCATCTGTGTCCACCCTTTCAGGTCCTAGGTTCCAGTTAAAGGATAAACTGTAACAAGAAGGAGGTAAGCCCCATCACCCAGAAGACTAAAGCAAGGTTATTTTCTTGTTGCTGCTATTGTTACTTTAAGTTAAAGAATCTGCCTGCAATGCAGGAGGCCCCAGTTTGATCCCTGGGTGGGGAAGATTCTCTGGAGAAAGGAATGACTACCCACTCCAGTATTCTTGTCTGAAGAATTCCATGGACAGAGGAGCCTGGAAGGTTACAGTCCATGGGGTCGCAAAGAGTTGGGCATGACTGAGTGACTGACATTTTTCACTTTCTGCTGTTACTTTAAATATTGTGACTGTCAGGAGAGAGAATGCCCGTCTCTCTAGGTTAGGTGAGGTTGTGTCCAGCAGTGGGTAGCAGGCAAGGATGCAGTTGGATGACCTCTGCAAACCCTGGGATTCTGTTACGCAACTATTCAGAATACAGTTATACAAACCTCGTGATCACAACCCTCAGAACACTGACCATTATTGTGATGAATCTGTGGTCATGCCTGTAGTCTTGTTTAGAAGGGGGCCAAGCAAAGTGATGGATTGTTATCATTATCAGTAGCACTATTTGCAATTAGTAGTAATTGCATACGCATCTTTGGAGATCCTTTGGAGGTAATTCAATCACACCACTTAAGAATTCATCCCTTCTGTTCTCCTCTCTCTTTTTCCCCTCCATCCTCACCTCATGCCTGGAAAGGAAAGAGAAGGCAGTTAATATTCATCAGGTCATTATGTTTCATTGAGATTTATGAAATGAATTGTTCAACGATTCGGTTACATGTTATCTCTTCAGCATTTTTGAGATTCAGTGGTAGGCAGACGTTTAACTCTTAGGGTTCCAGAGTAATTATCAGGCATCAGTATCCTATTTCTTGGACTACATACACTAGGTCTTTAATCAGGAACCATTAGCTGGGAGGACATGTGGATCCTTTGTTCCAGAAGGGCAAAATGAAACTCACCTAGGCTCATAGGATGCATAGGATGGACCAGATCTCAAATCCTGAACTCTGAGTCCCTAAACCAATGTTTTTCCTGGAAAATCTGACTGCTCTTGCAAGACAATTTTCAAAGTCATCCTCAGCACATCAGCAGAATCCTTCAAATTGCCCCCTTCTGTCATCAACATTCCAGAAGTTACAGCAGAATGTATATATATAAAACGACACATATATACATGCAGCTCCAGGATGAGCTGGTTGGATGGCATCATCGACTCAATGGACATGAGCTTGAGCAAACTCTGGGAGATGGTGAAGGACAAGGAAGCCTGGCGTGCTGCAGTCCATGGGGTTGCAGAGTCAACACGACTTAGCAACTGAACAACAGCAACAAATACATTGTTCAGTTCCGTTCAGCTCAGTAGCTCAGTTGTGTCTGACTCTTTGTGACTCCATGGACTGCAGCACACCAGGCCTCCTTGTCCAACACCAACTCCCAGAGTGTACTCAAACTCGTGTCCATTGAGTCAGTGATGCCATCCAACCATTTTGTCCTCTGTCTTGCCCTTCTCCTCCTGCCTTCAATCTTTTCCAGCA